GATCCAAGCTTGCTTCGTCCGACTTACCAGACAGTTAAACCATTTCCCACCACTACTGTCAGCACAACCCCAACCACAACCACATCTACCTCCACTATCATGGATTTCCGCAAATCAGGGCGCAGATGTGTGGATCAACCAAAGTAAGAATGGCCCTTTTCTTTCTCTTTCATACAGCTTAAATGCAAATTTTAGATGCCCCATTTACGTTATGAACGGGCTCTGCACAAGGGACTACTTCCCGGAACGGTTCAGGATGGAAGTGTGTCCCAAGGCATGTCACTACTGCGAGTGAATAATCATAGTCAATTAATAAATGTAGTACATTTATATGTATTTCCACAAAACACAACAGTTTACTGTAGGCCGTTGCGTTGGTCTTCATTGCCCTCTAATCTGGCCAAGTACTACATCACACACTTTGTTCAAACAACGAAATTACTAATGTAAGCCTATTGTTCACCTATGGAAGTGCCACTAAGGGACTAACATAGAAAGGGGCAGTACTACCTAGATATTACTGAATACGGAAATCGGGAGCTGCACCTTTTTGCATACATACTGCATAATTATAAACCTGGCTATCATCGGCAGGTGCGGGTGGTTGAAAAGTTCTAGAATCCTAGGAATACTATCATATCACATCCGCCACCTCTCAGCACTTCAATTCGTCTTGCGACTACGACACCAAAATAGATTTGAGTCGCACCTCCTATCTCTCGGATGAACGTAGGATAGACGGAAGGACATTGGTATCAATATCAAGGATTGAATTGGCGTAGTTACTCAGTATAAACGAAAAACGAAACGCAAGGGAGACAAGAAGGACGATAAACAACGTCTGTAGTACTACGAAATGTAGAAATCGATCGAGAACTTGAAAATCAACCCACGTGCTTCGTAAATTCACGAGTGTAGAACCGATATACTGGGTGCGTAATAGTTGAGGCGCTTGACTGAAACAATAGAAACCATAAGGAGCTACGATACGGGAAATTAGCGGATTTAGATGAAAAAGGCCAGAAAAACAAGAGTGTAATGAGCCTAAAAGACCACCAAGCAAGACAACACATTGAAAACTGATCAATAGGCGTTTGACCAATTTCCACGTTGGAATCAGTCGATTGGCGATCCGATCCGATGCCTCGAATTAAGTCATTGCACCTATGATTCCGGTGGAATTCGATTTTTTCCGATCTACGACTGTCTATGAAGCCATAGGTTTCCTCTTGCACTTTCAGTAGGCTTTTTCCCTTCCCTTTGTTCCTAGCCCATCATATTACTGCTTAAATGAGTTGTTTATGAGATCGCAGGAGTTTTCTAAGTTCCTTCTACTCTTTTTTTACNTTACGACTGTCTATAAAGCCGTAGGTTTTCTCTTGTACTTTCAAAAGGCTTTTTTTCACTCCCCTTTGTTCCTAGCCCATCATATTACTGCTTAAATGAGTTGTTTATGAGATCGCAGGAGTTTTCTAAGTTCCTTCTACTCTTTTTTTACCAACTTTACTACGGCGACCATACAAACCTACCAACCCATTCAGGAGTTTATGAGTAGGACGATCACGCACAGTTAAGCAGGGTCAGGATGGTTTACCGTTGCCCTGCCAAAAGTAGGATTTCGCACTCCCGCTAGCCCGGCTGGTCCCCCAGGACCCTGTATGTGAACGATGAAAAATGAGCGTTCTGGACGCTACCAGCAGGGGTCTCTATCACAGAAACCAAATTTCGATGCGGCGATCGCGGTGGCGCCTTCTTACCTATACCCTATAAAGCTTGTGGTTCCCTACAACTATCAGAATCACAAGTGACCTAAGAAGTGATTCCTTAGTTCAATGGTTCAATGATACTTGGCAGCGTCTCCCACACAGGCTTGAATGGCCGAGAAAAATGAAGGTCAGATTAATGGAATTTCAGTACTTTCATTACGTTAAAAAACTAAAATATGATCGGCATACTGTGAAGGAAAATGGGAAAAAAAATGGGAAAATGAGAAAAACGATGAAAACGGCTTCAGCTCGGGAGGGTCGACGGAGCGAATACACAGTGTTCGTTCTGAGAAGGTTATGAAATGACTAAGCTCAGATAACTAAACGCACAGAAGCATATGACTTTGGCTTATGGCTTCCTTTCGAGAGACAATTCCTGCGCAGCATCAACAGCGACGCGACCGCGCGCGGCAGCACTTGCAGGCCTCCATACTTTGGATTACGCTCCATTTGCACTTTCTAGTTCATTCTTGGAGCTTCACATTTAAAAGAATGATAAAAGTGAAAAGTCATTCAAAACAACCCTCTGGAGATATTACACAAGTTGGATTTGAGCGCCTCCTAGACGAGGCCGTTCGCGGCTACATTCACTAAAATCACCCACCCTAGACTCAGGGCCGTTGAGGGCAACGGAATTGATCGGATTACGATAAATAAACGAAGTACATTTGTCCAATTGACGCCAGGTAATCAAGTCGCTGAATCGCTTGACACAAAAAAAGTATAAACCAATGCCAAATGGGCGAAACCTGAGAACTTTATTCACATGTACGTAATGAGAACAATGGCTGTGGCAAAGATATCAATCGATCGATCATCACTAAAATCGAAAAATCAAGAAAAAATAATGATTGAAAGAACGAATAAATGATTCAGATAGGGGATGAACGTTTACCATCGTCTATCCTCTAATCTTCTCTTAAATATCACTAATAACAATACCAACCAATAGTGGAAATACTTTCTGGCAGAATACAAGTGTACAAATATGGTAAATATGTTTTGTTCTGATAAGGAATAATGATGGATGTGAGCGGAATGAGAGATACCCTCGATGACATTGCAGTTGTGTCACAAAAATCGCTCAACCATCAGTAAAGTGGCTAGTTGAGTTGAGAGCATCGCCAATGGCACCGACAAACTTCGTTGCGCTTCGGCTTCTGAAAAACGGTTGCTGACGATTCCATGTGGCCAAAAGATTTCGAATTCACGATGAATCTGGCCGTCTTGTATGGCTGTATGTCTCAATATGGCCAGGGAGGGTACAGAACGATCGGCGTAAGTTCTTTTGTTAATTCATTCATTACTAACCTTTTACCAAAGCATACAGCAGATGTGCGTAGCTTTCCTGCTGCTCCTCCAGGCTCCTTACTTCCCCCACCTTTCCAGTCCGTTTCCTATATCTCTCCCATTTGGAACTAAGAGGAACTGGGATACCCAGAAGCTACACGACGAACCTGCCCTATCGTGATTTTATGCACGAACGTTCTATTCCGTAGGGATATTCGGCACGTGTGCAGTGACCGGAGAACGATTCTCACGTGATCCCACAGAAAGGGCAGCCTACTAGTACAAATCAGAGAAACAGGCTGGGTTTTCCGAAAACCCGTCAATAATTAGGCTCTGAAGGGCATCGTAGTGGTAGGAACCCTGAACCAGTGAAGTACCCAGGTTAATCTTTTACTATGAGACGAGAAACCGCTATCTAGCCTCCTCGGCTCACCCCTCCCTCCACCCGTGAAGCTTCTGATTCGACAACCCTTAGAACTTTACCTCCTCTTCTCGGTATACCTCAGGCATAACCCTAACGAACAATGATGTGGTACCTTCGTCTACAAAAAGAGTCCTATTATATTAATAGTTCCTTCTATCTGCCAGTCAGACTATGAGCGACTTCAGAAGAAAACCTACTATTGACGTGAACGATCTGGCTGGCTCGTTGATGCCGACTCTCACAGGCGTAGTCACCATCGTCTTCCATCGTGGCCTGACGTATTCTGACCGTATGCACGACGACACCAGCTGATCGTTTTACTTTCCAAATATATTCTGAAATCAAGTAAAGACTTCTGCCGGAACGGCATGATAAGGTGAAAGTTGAGGTCCAACGCTTTCTGTCAGAAAACTGTCTGCTGTTTGGAATGTAAAAAATATGGGAATATTCTATCGCCTATGTCCTCCCACATACCATCATACGAACACTTTTCGATGTTCCGGATTCGCTCCAGCTTTTTTACTCCCAGAGCGACCCCTCTTTCAACTCCCCTTCTCCACTGGGCCAAGTGTGTCCTTAGTAACGTGCATTGATGGTGGACGTTATCCCATTACCTCTCATCCGCAGCTCTTCAACCCCATCGTCAGCCGGCCAGCGCGAACGCGGACGGGACTGCGCAACACATCGGGCAAATCTCGTTATGCAAATTTCGAATTTTGTTCGCCTCTATGATTTCACGATGGCCTTTACCACTTAGAAATATGTGCACATTAATTGAATTCATAATGAAACAGTGCTCATGCCCAGTTATAGTAATTGAAGCTCAGGTTGCTTTAGCTTAGAATAAATTGCAGCCTATCACTCATACATAGCAGAAAGTGCTTTGAAGAAGAAGTTGAAGAGATCAAAGCGTAAGGGTGATAAAGGCAAGTTGGCAAAAATACGCCCTAGATGTCACTTCTTCAAAAATTTTTAAAAAATTGAAAGCTTATATGACCTTCACAATGATTCAGAAGAGCAGGAGCCAAATGATACTCAAGTTTGCTAATGTTTTTCTCCACAGCCGGGTTGATGATAATCAAATAACTCCGGCCCAAGAAGCGCGAAATCAGTCAGCTTGGATTCCGAAACTTGGGAAATTTGCCTTTTTGTGAAAGACCCAAGGACTTTTAAGGAAGAAGTTACTGTAACTATTCAAATTTAGCTACCTTTTCACTCTAAAATACGATCAAAGACATTTTCTGGGATTGGAGGTCGAGTTGCAGATGTTTCTGTCGCGAACCTTCGACTCCCCGGGGTCATCCTCATTCAAATCACCTCCGTAATAGTCAGTTCAAAAAAACTTCTCTCCTAATATCTTCGAAGGATATGCAAAGTTTGTATGCTTCCCTGGTTACGCCAATGTTTGGAATCCAGCTGTCTGTTGAAACAATTCTTGGGGTGTTCCGTCGACTTATTTATTTATTTATTTACTGTGCGTGACGAACGCGCTTCAATGATAATCTTCTTCATCAGTCACTGAATCGCTTCAATGATTCAGTGGCATCTGAAAGAAGACTGAACAACAAGAAACTTTCAAAGAATCACTACCAAGCGATTCGCATTACAGGGTTCAAAGGATGCCACCGGATATATAATGCGGCAGCAAGCGACAAAGGGCGAAAATGATATATCATTATGATAAAAGAGCAAAAGCGGCTTAATCTAGTCGAAAATTAATTCGGAGGTGCTTCCAGGATTGGCCGAAATGTCGTAAACACATGGAATGAGGAAGACTGCTCTTCTTCGAAACCGATGGTGATTGAAAATCCCAAGTCTTGTGCCTCGCATGAAAAATGATGATCCTTGGAAGAGGAGAGAAGAGAAGACAAGAAATATTTAGTGATACTGAGCGATAAAGAGCGATAATAGAAGTTATAATGTCGTCTTTGACACGTCGATATTGTTCACTCAGCTATACTTTACACGGCTTACAGATAACCCTGATAGAACTCAAAACTCACTGTTAGTATCGTTCAGGTTCATCGCTTTACCGTCACGAGTCCACACAACTTCATCCTCTTCAGCAGCTGCTGGTTCATTGCCGACCGATACGGTGCAATTCAGAAGCACTTCATCGCCAGCCATGTTGGCCATCAGAAGTGTACCCCTTTCTGCAAAAACACCTTACAAAACAATTAGCAATCTAAATAGCATTTTTAGCTTTTGCAACACTAGTCGGTGACTTATCTATGCCTTTACTGGGTAACCCAACATGGGTAGGTTCAAAATACTCTGAACCAAGATGCCGGAGTATGACATATTTCTATCGTAGGACAGCCCTACTGCTTCTTTGACCATGTAAAGGTAAAATAAATTTTAAAAAAAGAAATTTAAAAAATACATGTACAAGTAAAAAAATATGTATATATATATAAACTCGATGAGATAACAAACATTGAAACTAACTCTGTAGATTTCCTGTGACGGTCCTAGCATGTAGCAAGCCCGAGAGTGTGACAATTAAGGCTACTAGACAACTAATCATCGCAACACTACTTTGGTCCGCGATCGATTCTTCAGAGTTTTGGCTTAAAAAGACCTCCCAAGTTCCCTGGGGGCACTCAACGTTTTAAAGTCGTCGTTAGTGCAATCTTCCTCACCAAGAAAGTTCGTTAACCATTACGGAGATTCTTGGAACTGATTCTTGGACGTGGACATGCACTGAACGTAGAAGAAAATAGATTCTCCTCGGCACAGCAACGCTTTTAGAAAGCATTTCCTAATGACACCGATTGGAGTGCCGCTCCAATTTTCTACCAGTTTTGTGGTCTTATCATTAGAAATGAGGACCCATCAGTGACAGTATAGGCAGACAGACTGAAGATGCAGCATAGTCTCGGTTTACGTATAGAAGTATTAGGTTGATGCATAATTATTGCGGATTTTTTCGCGGTTTTTTTTTCTTTCAATAGAATTTGAATATTGAGTTCGGGTTTTTCTAGAAATGATCTACTTGATTACCTCTACAAGAATATACTCAAAAAACCATCCGCACATTCGCAAAATTAGGCTTTACTACTTCGAGAAAGATTGGAAGGTGGCGCACTCATTCCGCGATCTC